CTGGGAACGTCTACAGAGTTTTGCTCGCCAGTGGCAGAGAACTCGCCGTCAAGCACATATGGAATACGGACTCCAACAGCAGAGGAGGGCGGAGGAAGAGCCGGACCACGAGCCCGATGCTCAGGAAGCGGAGCGAGAAGTCGCGGGAATTCGACGCCGAGGTGGAGACCTTGAGCTCAATCAGGCACGTAAATGTGGTGAAACTGTACTGTAGTATCACGAGCGAGGACTCGAGCTTGCTGGTCTATGAGTACATGCCGAACGGGAGCTTGTGGGACCGGCTTCACACTTGCCGGAAGACAGAGCTCGACTGGGAGACAAGGTATGAGATAGCCGTGGGGGCGGCCAGAGGATTGGAGTACCTGCATCACGGTTGCGAGAGGCCGGTGATTCACAGGGATGTGAAGTCCAGTAACATTTTGCTGGATGAATTCTTGAAGCCTAGGATTGCTGATTTTGGGCTTGCCAAGATTGTTCAGGCCAATAGTAGCAAGGATTCAACCCATGTTATTGCCGGAACACATGGTTACATTGCTCCTGGTAAGAAAATGTCTTTCTTTTTCATCTTTTTGGTTAATCTTGATCAAATCAAGAATGTGCAAAAATAAGAAATTTGAACTAGGAATGGCTAATTACTTTTAACTCTATAGAACTAGCGATGACTCGCATTTCAAATTTAATCTTTGCGACTGTTTTGAATGTTGCAGAATATGGTTACACGTACAAGGTGAATGAGAAGAGCGACGTCTACAGCTTCGGGGTGGTGCTAATGGAGCTAGTGACAGGAAAGAGGCCGATAGAACCGGAGTACGGAGAGAACAAGGATATAGTGAACTGGGTCTCGAGCAAGTTGAAGACGAGACAAGACGTGTTCGGCATCGTGGACTCGAGAATCCCTGAGCCCTACAAGGAAGAGGCCATCAACGTGTTGAGGATTGCCATCCTCTGCACAACGAACCTCCCGAACCTGAGGCCCACGATGAGGAGCGTGGTTCAGATGCTGGAGGACGCGGAGCCATGCAAGTTGGTCCGCGTCGTCGTCGACAAAGAAGGCAACGGGAAGGCGCAGGTCACCGACAGCAGGAAGATCAAGCCAGAGCCATGAGAGCCTTGGGTCAATTCTCATAGGAACATAATCGGAAAACCTTTGGGAATTTCAAACCCTGATTCAGTAGAAGTTGCAGTTGCAGTATAAGTTCTGGGATCACTTGTAACATAGCATAGTTCCAAGAGCAAGAGCTTCCCAATAAGTCTCTCCCCAGTTAGCGAGAGCTTGGAGTTCATATGCAAGTAGGTTTTTGAGTTGGTGCATGTTGAGAAAGGAAGCCCCCGGGCTCTCCCTCTTCCTTCTGTACAATATATTATTTCTGTAAGTCGTATGAAGGTAGTTGTTTTGGCAGAACAATGATCAGAAATGCTAGATGAAGAGTACCATGAAACCTTTTTTTGGAACATGTTGAAGGATTCGAGCATGATCTATTTCTCTGCATTAAACAAGTGGAATCTATTCTGATACCGGTCGACATATTAGGTCCTCGATGATTGAAGATGCAAATAATACTAAATTGATAGTCCAAGCTGATTTCTGAGATGCTTGGTCAAAGATGTCTGCTTCCTAACACAGTGGTTGCCTGTCTGGTACCAGAACGCAGACAATAAATTGATTCCCCCTCCCTCGTCCTGTTTCAGACATTGCTGTGGTGTCGATCCTAACAAGTTAACGACGCTCGTGTTTTTGCCATCTCAAATTTATGCGACCTCTTCTCGCTATTCTTTCACGACGCGTCTTGAACATAAAAGAATCCCATCTTGGAGTGAGTGAATGAATGAAGTTTAAAGAGTTAAAAATAGAACGCCTTTGTACATCTTATAACTACTTGCCTTCGTTCAAAATCTTAAAACGTTGCTTCTAAACATCTAATGTGAGATTAATGTTTAAGCTCATACCTGATACAAGCTCACAATGTTTAAGCCCAGAACCGAGTAAGGCTTTCTTATGGAAGGCCCACGGTATGGGAGCCCGACCCGGTATGGTCACCTCATTGAGCTTTCCACGGTAAAAATTGCATCGATAAATATTCTAACATTAACATAAAACACATTAATGATTTATGAAGATTTAAACATAATAAAATTCACATTAATGTACTCGTGTTATTATATTCTAATATTAACATAACATTATCGTTTCAAGAAACTTACAAGATAAAAATGGTTAACGTAATATTTGAATTATCGTGTTTAGTTTGAGCTTTACTCTGTCTCGGGCAGAAGTAATGTATCTATTTGCATTTTAGTAAGCGGACTTGTGTACCAATATAGAAAATCATGCTAATATCAAGGTAGGAAACTTCTTTGATTCGAAGGAGTTGCAATTAGAAAAGCAAGATAATAAAGAGAGACGGGAACAATGGGAACATGAGTAATAAATAGGTGATAAAATGAGTGGAAATTGTAAGAAAAGTATTTATTGTGAGGCAAATGATCGATCCCTTACTATTTAAAGACTAAAGTGCAATGTGTTAACGTTAAAGACAATGTTTAGAGAAAAGCTTGTTATTATATACATATATATATACATATATAACAATATGTTACTAGCAATAACTTTAGTGTATATGAGTGATAATCACGATCACTAGGTCATACTGCATAAAGTCTGCTTACCTTTTGCACAAATTAGTTGAGTGTAAGAAGTGCGCACAACCTCGTGAAATTGAATTAATGGTTAAGGTTTTGACATTTGTGTCATCGTGTGTGGATTGGGCGCATGATGCAGGTTCAATCTGCTTCACGATCAAGTGCAAACAATTTCAAGATTAGGTCATCCGCACGAGTTTAGGCTTGTGTGTTCCAGTTCAAATCCATATACACCTATCTAGGACTAGTCTTAGGAAAAACGTGGAATTTTTCCTAGCCACAATTTTGACTCAATATCTAGTAGGCAAAAATTTTCCATTTTAATTTTAGTTAGATTTTAGCAATTGTTAACTCTAATAGATTACTCAAATGGTAAGCGTGTCCATCCTTTTTGCTCAAGGCTTGCCGTTCGAATCATCATACTTGTTCATTCTCTTGGGGCCACTCTAGGAGTACAGACTTGTGCATCTCTAGTAATTACTAGGTGTGCATGGGCCAGAGAGAATGCCATACTCGATGAGAACTAGTCGAGTGCTTAAAAGTCTCAACCACCCAATTGATCGCAATTCCAATGTACATCTGCATCAAAATAATTGAAAGGGCTTATTAGGGTGCGTTTGTTTCACGGAAAACGCAACGTTTTTGAAAAATGTTTGTTGAGAAATCATTTTCCAAGAAAATAATTAATTTTCGTTTGTTTAGTGATATGTGATCGAATTTGTTTTTTTGTGTTTGGATCTCATTAAGAAAATGATTTCAAAATGCGTTTGTTTCGCTAACCCGCGCTTGTGGCCCGAGACCGGCGACCGGCGAAGGGAGAAAGAAGGAAAAAGAAAAAGAAAGAAAATATATAGAAAAGAAAGAAAGAAAATAAAATAAAAAATAAAATAAAATAGTAACAAATTCAATATAAGCAATTCAAGAAAGTATTTTCACATTTTTAGATTAGGGAATTCACTTTCCTAATTTTAAAGATGAATGTTTTTCTGGACCATAAAGTATTTTCGGGTCACTTATCATTTTCAACGGACCGAACGAGTGAAAATCCAGAAAACAGATTCCCGGCAAACACTTTCCCTCAAACAAACGTACTCTTAGGGTGCACATGACAACGATTTTATATCCGAGAACTGATTCTGCTCAAAAATGATTATTTTTTATTCCGTGCCCAAGAACAATTTTTAAGCATTTGAAGGCGTATGGTAACTGCCCAAAATTTATATTTTTAAAATAAAAAAAGAACAGAAATGCGTTTGGTAACTACGCAAAATTTCTTTTTATTAATAATATTTTTGAATTTTTTAATATTTCTTTCTTATTTTTTCCTTTTTTTTCTTTCTTTCCCTTCCTTTTCTTGGCCATGGCCGATTGCCGGCGCCGGCGACCAGCCACAGGCCAGCTCCGGCGAGGGCGCTGCGGCCCTCGCCGCTGACCTCGTCGGTCGTGACGGCGACGTCGAGCGTCGTCCAGCCAAGGCGAGGCCGACTTCGCCGTTGCGACCCATCTCCCTCGCCTGGGTTGCGACGGCGAGGTCAGCCTCACCATGGCTGGGCGAGACCTCCGGCCACCGCCGAGGGCCACGACGCCCTCGCCGGCCCTAGCCTGTGGGCAGTCGCCGGTGGCTGGCGGGCGACGGCAGGCCAAGAAGAAGAAGAGAAGAACAAACCAAGAAAGAGAAAGAAGAAAACTAATAAGAATCAGAAATGAAAAAATTGTTCTCGGAATCAAGAAGTTACTTTTTTTAACTTCTTGATTCCGTTCAAAAACTAATTCTTGAAACAATTTTTTGCAAAGTTGTGCCCTGGAACAAAAAATTAAACAAACGGATTTCTGTTTCCAAACTGATTCTGGGAACAAAAGAACAGAAATTTTCACTATTTGGCAATTTGCCAAACGGCCCTCAGTATACTTTCTATCCAGAGACACATACACACGTAGACACCAAATGTTGATAGTTGATACCGACTCGCTATTTTTCGGATGCGGGCTGGGCGAGCTTGACTTGAGCCTAATCCGGTCGAACTTAACCATATAGTCACCGTCCAAGCGTGCTAAAAAATGTCCGAGCCGTCGTGGCGCGGGACGGGAGCGGCTCGGTAGGCCCGTGATCAAGTCTACATCTCAGTCCATGTCAATTTCCCCCCAAGAAAAAACCAAATGCCAGCTGCCGGAGCCACAAGCCGAGCCGCGGCTTCGCTGGCCAATGACGTGGAGGTATCAACCGTCGCTCCGCTGGCACTATACCGATAGTATAACCACAACCCAAAACGACAACGAGGGTCAACCTAACTAACCCTGGTTAAAACCATCCGATCTTTTTAGCCTAGCTGCTCCCACTTCCCACTATATATATATATAACCTCCGCATTTCCCCTGGCATCTCCCGCATCGCATTCCGCCGGCGTCTTGATAAACGCCGCCGCCCTCCTCGTCCTCCCTCCTTCCTCCTCCTTCCGCCGCCGTGCTCGTCCCTTCTCCGGACCGTCGAAGATGAGGGAGTGCATCTCGATCCACATCGGCCAGGCCGGCATTCAGGTCGGCAACGCCTGCTGGGAGCTCTACTGTCTCGAGCACGGCATTCAGGTACACGCTTCCGCTTCTCGCCGCCGGATTCGAACTGAGCTCCGTGTATTCCTTCGAGGTTTCCGTGCCTTGCTTTGAATCCGTTGGTCGGTTAGTCAGATCCGTCCGTTCCCGGGGAATGCTGCTTGGTTTTGTGCTGGATCTATGTTGCGATCATGCTTTCCGCACCTCTGTTTGCCTGGATCTTGGGGTTTTGTGCGGTATTTGGATGATGTCGAGCTTAGACGTGTCGATTTTTGGCCATTTTCATGGTCAGCTAGATGTTGTGCTCTACGGCATTGTTGTTTAATGAGGAGTTGTATCCTGAGTGGGATTGGTTTTTTTCTGCGGATGATTGGATCTGGGCATTTCCATGCTTGCACCGCGGATTCAAGTCCATGAGAGATGTCATAATCATGCGGTAGATTCCTTCAGTTAGAGTAACTATAGCCGCTTGCTTGCTTGCTTGCATTCGGAAGCTAGGACCTGGTCCTTCTGGCGAGTTGAATTTCGACGTCTCAGTAATGGGGTTTCGCACTTTGATCAGTCGTTGGTGTATCGTGTTCTAGCAGAATTTCGACGAAATGAATAGGCCTTCGGGATCTATCTTTCATAGCACGCATGTACCTCAAAATTAAATTTTGCAATTGTTCTCGTTTTAGAAGATTTTATTTTTTCGAGGTCTTAAATTTTTTTTTTTATCGTTATAATTAGCTGTTAACATAATGTCTGTGGCTCCATAGCCTGATGGCCAGATGCCGGGTGACAAGACAGTAGGCGGAGGCGATGATGCTTTCAACACCTTCTTCAGTGAGACCGGTGCTGGTAAGCACGTCCCTCGTGCTGTGTTTGTGGATCTGGAGCCCACCGTCATCGATGAAGTGAGGACTGGCGCTTACCGCCAGCTCTTCCACCCTGAGCAGCTCATCAGTGGCAAAGAAGATGCCGCCAACAACTTCGCCCGTGGTCATTACACAAGTAATATATCCGTTAACTTAGAATCATCAGGCTCTCTGGGTTGTGGACTTGTTATAATGAGGCCCTGCATTTGCTTGTATAGTAATTAATGATCGCCGATTTTGCATTGTGCTTTGCCAGTTGGAAAGGAGATCGTGGATCTCTGCTTGGACAGAATCCGCAAGCTTGCAGACAACTGCACTGGTCTCCAGGGCTTCCTTGTCTTTAACTCTGTTGGAGGTGGCACTGGTTCTGGTCTCGGATCACTTCTCTTGGAGCGACTCTCCGTTGACTATGGCAAAAAATCAAAGCTCAGTTTCACTGTTTATCCCTCTCCTCAGGTTTCCACCTCTGTTGTGGAACCCTACAACAGCGTCCTTTCTACCCACTCCCTCCTCGAGCACACTGATGTTGCCGTGCTTCTTGACAATGAAGCCATCTATGACATCTGCCGAAGATCCCTCGATATTGAGCGTCCCACATACACTAACCTGAACCGCTTGGTCTCTCAGGTAAAAACTGATAGCAGCCGTTGAGGGAATTGGCATTGCTCTTGAGTTCTTGATATGGTTTGCACAAATCTAGAAGACTTGAGATATAGATCTTTAATGGTTGTCTTTATGATGCAGGTCATCTCATCCTTGACTGCCTCTCTGAGGTTTGATGGAGCCTTGAATGTGGATGTCACCGAGTTCCAGACCAACCTGGTCCCTTACCCCAGGATCCACTTTATGCTTTCTTCGTATGCTCCAGTTATCTCAGCTGAGAAAGCATATCACGAGCAGCTCTCAGTGGCTGAGATCACCAACAGTGCATTCGAGCCATCATCTATGATGGCCAAGTGTGATCCTCGCCATGGCAAGTACATGGCTTGCTGTCTCATGTACCGAGGAGATGTCGTTCCAAAGGATGTGAATGCAGCTGTGGCCACCATCAAGACCAAACGCACCATCCAATTTGTTGACTGGTGCCCAACCGGATTCAAGTGCGGTATTAACTACCAACCACCTACTGTTGTTCCAGGAGGTGACCTTGCCAAGGTGCAGAGGGCTGTCTGCATGATCTCCAACTCCACCAGTGTTGCCGAGGTGTTCTCTCGCATCGACCACAAATTTGACCTCATGTATGCCAAGCGTGCTTTTGTGCATTGGTATGTCGGTGAGGGTATGGAGGAGGGAGAGTTCTCTGAGGCTCGTGAGGACCTTGCTGCCCTGGAGAAGGACTATGAAGAAGTCGGTGCCGAGTCTGCTGAGGGCGACGAAGGTGATGAAGGAGATGAGTACTGATGTGGTTGTGAATTCACTGGCTTGTTTGCTTCAATATGTATCGGTTTTATGTTTGTCCTGTTAAAACTGAGTGCGCGTGTGTACTTTCGTGGCATGTAACTGATGGTTTTTCGTCGTGAATTGCTATCAAATCAGTATCTTAGTATTCCGCAGCTTACTTGTTCTTTCTGCATCCGTCCCATTCGGGTACTATTTTCACTTTTCAGATTTGAGTAGCTTTTGCAATAGTGGACATGGAGGGGCTACAACATAGGCTTAAAGGAGTAATGATTTTGCTGTTTACCCGTAGCTCTGCCACGTGTGAGACAAAGACATTGTCAAAACTGATCGTGGGCCACAAAGTCCCCTTGGGTGTTCTAGACTTGAAAATAATACCTTATCAAAATATTTCGTGTGTTACCTATCTATAATGAACGGAAACGCGTGAAAATACACATAAATTTGAAGATCCATTCAGACGGAATACTAGCTGTATTCTGGAAACCTAAGCCAATAAACCAAACGGAGTGTCGCTAAAAAATAATGGGAACCAAATTTCATTCATTCAAAGAGAATGTCAAACACTATTTACTCGGAGCTTCATCTGCAGTAATTTTGCACCTACTAAAACATACGGAGCAAGACCACAAATAACTTTGTTATTCAAGAAAGTTCTTATCCGGGAAGGTGTAATTCTAGTATCGTCCCAGCTTTTGGACTAGACGGTTCTCAATTTCCATTCTCTTTTTCATCAAGACTGTATACTTTGAAACTAGTTCTGGACTGCCAGCAGAAACAGCGAGCCTGCAATTGAGAGATGTCTTCTCCAATTTGTCCATATACATGCCCGATATCGGCACGAAACTGCCCTTCTTGTTACACAGCCAGCCGTGCGCCGCTCGGAGTGCAGCTCCCAGTGAAGCCGAATCTGTTTAAGTTCGAGATGAAAACAGGGTAAGGCCTCTATGTCATTAAATTCTAGGGTCTGGAAATACAGAGAGCATTCTCAAGGATTCTGTTAATTGTGATGAGTCCTCCCTGACAAACACAACTTTAGTTTCCTTTCGAATTAGATCCCAAGAACCATAGAGATGGGCATGATTCAAAGTTCTTACCAGGTCTCTGTACAGTATAAACATCACAGCCAAAGATGGAGGCTATAGAGCTAAGGATCCTTTGGTTTGCTGATGCTCCCCCTGTGGCAATTATACGATTTGGTGGAGCTGGCATCCCAAATCTTTCTGCATGAGCTCGCATTGAGAGAAGCTGGCCCTCAATTAATGCTCGAACCTGAAAATAAACGTGAACGTTTCAAGATTAAAGAGCATGCAAGATGTAAACAAATCTCAAAACTCGTGAGTTCTGACCTCAGCGGGAGAATCAAATTCGTGCACTTCACGTTCTGTCAGGCCCTCCAAAGTGTCACCAGTGAAATTGTCAAGAATGTACCGATGGAAACCAACTGCATGTATGGAAATAGATTACTTAAGCTTATTCAAGTTTTACAAATGTGCGTACGAAATAACAGAGTGAACCGTTAAATATCATTGATTGCGGGTCATTTTGAATGCAAATATGAATCTGATGTCTGGCCAAAAGATTAGGCCCACGACCTGCTCAGGGCCAAAACCATCTAAAATAAAAAGTCTTGGGTAGCAATAGAAACTGTCAAACGACAGAGTATCTAACTTCGAACATATTCACTTGAGTAAAATACTTCTTGTCAACATCCTGCAGAAACTTTAAGCAAAATTATCAGGGTAATTAGGTGAAAACTTGTAAGGAAGACAACCGCACCTTAAATAACTACCTATTGGTGGCATCATACTAATGCAGCAAAAGAAACTCTAATATTCTGTTGCAAGAGATTGGACAGGAACCACAAAACTCACCAGGGAGAGGAGGAAGTATCTCATGATCCATGTAGTAGAAACCGATTTTTCCACCTGTCAACAATATCAAAATATGAAAGCCTAATTCACAATAACTAAATTTAGGAGATAATTTTTCAAAGTTGCACGACATCTACAAACCATTTAGAGGTGGCGTTCGCTCCAGAAATTTATTGAAAGCATCCCAAGACTTCTCCGCGTATCTGTTCCTGATATCTACAATTAAAATTAAAGATCTCTTTCATGTCGCAGAAATCCAAACATCGTGCTAACAAAAGCAAGAGAAAATTGTTGGAGAAGAGTATTACCTTCACGAGTTAGAGAGCCATTCTTGTAGACTAACATTACCATGTAGCTTTCTTGGTCCACAGGATTAGGGAAGACGTGCCCTTCGAGCCTTGGTTGAGGATCAGAACTGATCCCGAAAACCTGAATGAGCACAAGAATGTTTAACAGAGTAGTGGTAGGAATTGAGCTCAATAAAATAAATGGAAACAAAGATGTGGGTAAGTGCTTAATAAAAAATTGAAGACGTCAGTTAAGACACCATTTGGAAAGAGCATCTATCAGCCATCAACTATATCCTAAAGAGAACTCTGCAGTAACAAGTTCACTATCGAATCTGATCCCTGGACGCGCGCCTATACCCTGAGGATGAGCTCCTAAACCAAATCATCTCCTCATGTGCCATGGCTAATCAGACCAGCATTGAGGGTAGTTAGGCAGAAAGTTATGGCATTATGAAGCAGACCGTTCGGATTAAACAACAGATTTACCTAAATCGGGGCCTCAAATGTAAATTTTAAACCAAGCCTCAGTGTGTATTTACCACTCTAAAGTTACTTTCAAATCATTAAACATGAAAAGGCGATTGGCTAGCAAACAACCTCTCTGACAAGCGGGAAAAAAAAACCCCTCAAACTTAAGTCCACAATTTAACAGCTATATCATGTCATCTACTGCCAAACCGCCAACAATTTCCAGTCAACCGCTTTAATTATGTAACTGTCACTATAAAATGAGACTCAAATCTGGAGTGTTACATAATCCTCCAAGACTACACTCTGCAGTTTTCTTCTAAACGATCCATGCTATGGAGTGTGCAAATAGTAGGTTACACAATATTGTAATGCAAAGCACACTAACAGCTCTCTCTCTCTCTCTCTCCCTCGCGTGATTTTCTCTATAGTAAAGGAGAGAATTTGCCTGGATAGATGAGGGACTTGACGCATCTGTGTCAAAAGAGTTTGAGGAACCAAATCACCTACAACAATTTCCGCAACTGATTCCCAATCAGGTTTTGTAAGCTGACAAGCAAGAAGTTTACTATGGCAACTCGGTTAGCAGCTTTGCGCACAGATATTAACTGCTTACACATTTCTAATAAGAAAAATTCTAGCTAAAGGGTTCTCTTCAATGCTAAGTAAATGACGGGATGGTGGACCTTGGGTACACTACAGACAGATCAATCAGTGAAGCTACAGACAATTGCCTAAAACAGCGAAGGAAACAGTTTGATCAGTTGCCAAATTTTATAGTTAGAAAAAGTATTAGTGTGTTTCTTGCTTTTCCTGACACAGGTATCTACCTATGTTGGTTCGAGTGGAAGTGTGAAAAAATGCATAAATGTAGCAGACTTTTAGTTTCAACTCACAGTGTCACTGGTGCCAAGACTAATTGCCAAATCCCCTGGCTTGTTGAGTGTCAAACCTGCATTGAGCATATTGCACTAATAAGAGTGGGCAGTACATAGAGAAAAAGCCTATAGGATTATAGAAATTTTTACCCACAGATTATTTGCAGTAGAACTAACTTTGCCATCTGCAGAAGAGCTAACCTCTACTAATTCTAGTCATAAAGGGGAAAAAAAACAAATCATGCTTCGATTCCATCTCCCTTCATGCCTGAACTTAGGGCCTAATACCGCCTCATCTATCTTCACCTAACTTTCAAAAACATTGGTGCAACATTCGCCTTTTTTTATCTATCTATAACAATTGACGTCCAAAAAGTAGTTCATGACGCAAATGATCATTACGGGGACGACATTTTTCACCTGCTAAGCTGTTAGGATTGTCTCCTGACCACTGAATTACCAAGCAATTTTTGTGGAAGTTGAACCTGGGAACAAAGCCGCTTGGTATCAGGTTCAATAACTCGCAAGTAGAAAAAAACATAAGATTCCAGTAATCTGGTATCATTTACTTGCAAGCTAGTAAAATGATGAGCTTGACAAGGTTCCTGACTTCATAATTAATTTTTAGTTTCAGCTATATAGTGTAGGATTCTTTTTGGATATAATCGGAGAAGTTTGGAATGTCCAGAAAAGTGAAACTTATACAAACCTCTGCACAAAGTAAGGAGCAATATGACCCGCAACAGCATAAGCAGGTGCTAGCTTTCCCAGTTTATCCTCCAAACCGGGCGCTGTGGCCTAAATTGAGTATTGAAGCATTGTTATAAAAGAATCCAGAGAGTGGTAGTTTTTCCCCCTTTTCTTGAGATATAAGTTAAAGAAATAGTCTACCTCCAAGGCCACTTTGGACCAGGCCCTTTGCTTAATATCCATCAAGTTCATCCCAGCACCATCTGTCTCATCTATACTAGCATACGCCCCCATAAGAAGACATGCCATGAAGGAGCTCACAAGAGATATCCTCTCTGTATCCCGATATACTTCGGGTTGAGTCTGGAAAATCTTCTTTATCTGAGGCCCGGTGTATCTCTCATGTGCGCATGATCCAGTAATTCGAGCCAGCTCCAAAGCCCCTCCAACAGCTTTCTCTATCTCTCTACATTGTGCAGTCGTGCTGCTATCCATCCAAATCGGCGATTCCTTGACCGAAAAGGCATCCCCAAATTGATCCACCAATTGCTTGGTCGCATCCAACGATGAGAGAATCGCGGAACTGCCACTCTTCCAATACACGCTCCCGTGCTGCTGGCCACTACCGGAGACGGCAGCTATTTTCTCGAAATCAAGACCAGATTTTGCGAGCTTCTGGAGCATGAGATCGAGAGCTTCCACCCACATAATGGTGGGCGAAACGATCCTGCCGTTAACCGAGGGATCTCTGAAGACCCCATCTTTGGTTTTGTAGTGGGGCAACTCAGAGTCAAAGTGCACTAGCTCAGTAGCAACAATGTTCAGATGTGAATCCAGCACAGTCGCCTTCAAGGACCTAAGCAGAAAAAGTTACGAACTTTTTAGCACCGAGTCACAATTCACACCCTCATTTGAAAGACGGACCTTCGGGCCAAGCGAATTCATCACAATACACCCGAATTAGCAGCTAAACCACCCAATTCAGCGAACCCACATCGTAGCATTGCAATCGCGCCGGGTAAACAAGAGAAAAAGGCTTGGTTTCGCCGATCAACACCGAGGGGACAACCGAAAAAAACACAGAGAACAGGGACTTACTGAGTAGAGCTATCGAACCCGAGGAAGAGAGCGTCGTGAGGGAGATCGTAGTCCGCCATTGCCAAGACAAACAGTACAAATTGACGGCTGCACTTCTTCTTCTGCTACAGAGAGAGAAAGAGAATGGTGGGTTGCTCTCGCTCTGGCTCGAGGCTGGCGATTCTTTTTTCGAGTCCCGAACGAAACATGAAGAAGATGGTCACTGGAAACATCACCCTCGTATGTATAGGAATCATGGGAAAGTCGTGAATTTGTGGATAAGGACGACCAGATTTGGTTTGAACCGAAGTTGGATTGCAGAAGATTACATCGGAGCTTCAAAAAATTTAGCCGAGAGTTCAGAGGATATCATCGGTTGGAGGACGATCGACATCATGACAAGTTGTCGTGACAACCTCGTAAAATCTTATTTTGTATAGGCTCCGATACTTTGGAAGAAAGGCTGTAATTTTCAAGGAAACGTTTTGCGTTATCCCGTAAATTATCTAATTAAGTATCTCGACCTTTTAATCCACGCCGTAGTGACGTGGATAAGATTTTTTTCCGATGTTGAGACATCGGCGTCCACTTTAACTAGCTATTATCCGCATCACGCTCCGTCGATTGTTTATATTTGTGAATTTATTCACACGCACCCACGTGGCTATCCGCTTTTTTCATTTATAACACATTGTCGGGCCGTTTGACAGCCACGTCGGTCATATCCTGTTGGATTTGGCGCCGCCGGAGGGAGTTTATTAGAGATACGTGAAGATGGAAGGGTTTTGAATAACGAAAAGGGCGTAAAAGTATAGAGACGAAAAGTACAAGAAGAAAATTTTCGTCAATTATCGAATTTGGCATCATTTTTAAAAAATTCTATCACAAGAAAGCGCATTACATTGTCATTTCATTTCACTATTTCGCATGTAACAAGTGGCAATGACCCAAAAGGGAGAATCAGCTGTGTTCGGACCTAAAAATTTGCGAAATTAAGATAAGACGGCCCGCCTAATTTTATGGGCTTCGCTTTTTCAATTCTGGGCCTTGAGGGCCCGGAAGATTCGGCCCACGAGCCCATCGCTGACCTCAGCCTATACGTCATCCCGTCAGTGCCCTCCTGGCATGGAAAACCAAAAGCGGAAAGACAAAAGGAAACGCATGGAGGGAAGTCAAAGATGGAAGAAGTTTGGGGGTGAGGGATTGGCCTTTTGATTCGCAAAAGGCAACTTTGGGTTGAGCTCTCTCTTTGGCATCATCCAATCGTTAATAGCGCAGGGAAAACGTCATGCACTTGGTATGGAAAAAAGTTGAGGTCCTAATGGAATTACTCCGTTTATCTATCTTCGGTGTTAAGTAACTGTTCATCACACATCTTCTAAGATAATAACAACGTATTCTAAGGTAGCATCTCGAAAGGGCGTGACTTTTCTTACCTCTTTAAAGACGGCTTGATTAATCAGACGTTTTTTGAGATAAGGACCTTGATCATGTCTCTAAACCCCAAGAGCACGTTTCCAGCATCTGTATTACCCCCTCCCTCCTGTCGCCATCCGCGCGCCTCCTTTTCACCTCTTATCTCGTCCGCAACGTTAGGAGAAAAAAAAAAAAGCAGTTATTGCCGAGCACGCATTAGTTACGATACGATCGACAGCGGATCATCACAAAAAGGATACCGGAAAAGGGGGGGCACGAGTCCTCTTGCGTGTTTATGGCCCGTCTTTTTAACTGGCTTCCAGACGTCGCCGAACAGCCATGCACGACGTCCATCCGACATATCACGAGTTACCCACTCACCGTAAAAGCATCGAGATATTGTATCATTATTCGAAGATAACTTCTACTCCTTAGCTAGGGTGGGCGGACAAGCGAAAGAAAAACCCCCGCATTTGGAACCGCATCCTCTGCACACAAACGTCTGAATCCGATCCCCTCTTAAGTCGGCTGGAAACTCCACCTCATCTCCCCAGCCTAATCCTTTTCCTCAAGTGGGGAAGGGGGATGGCGTTAAGGAATGAATCTCATGCCATCCCGCCCCCATCCCCCCCACTTTCTCAAATCTTCTCAACGGTAGGCAGATCCCTTCGGAAGGGGAATACTCACACCTTTCCTCCTCCAAACCCATGCTTCCTCTAACTTCTTCCATCCGGCCTTTGCCCCCCCTCCTGAGAAAAAGTCAAAAGGTGGACTTTCTTTTTTTTTTTCTCTTTTCTTCCTTCCTTCCCTCTACCTCTCTCTCTTCTTCTTTCTCACTATTGCTTGGGGCCTAAGAAACACAAAAGCGGCTGGCCGCTCAGGACTTCTTATTTAGCGTTAGTTTAAGCACCGGCGTCATCAACACGGACGACCCAATTTACAAAACGAAGAATAATTTAATCCGAAGATTTGGAAGAATGGAAAAAAAAAATTAAAATAATAAATAAAATCAAATGGCCAAAAGTATATTCAGGCAAATTGACCCCCACCGCTCACCATAAGAGGGAGAGCCTCGCTGAAAGCTCCACAAGCCGACACTCGAAAATATCTTTATTCCGATAAAATACCGAGAACGCCCCCGCCCCACCGCCAAAGGCGACCGCCATACGCGCTGCGGCCACCCGGGGCCAGTTCCGTAAATCCGCCCCCCCACCGTCCGTCTGCCACCTATAAATTTGACCGCTCCCCAGTTCCTTCGTTTCCGTCTTCTTCTCGATCCTGCCAGGAGTGACCGTTCGTTCGCTTTCGCTTCCTTCGATCGGTGTCGATTCCGGCGACCGATGGCCTCCAACGCTATCAAGATTCGGAACGGCTCGAGCCGCGATCTGGCGGGACCCTCCCGGCCCCGGGCCGCGGCCGGAGTCGCGCGGAGCTCGCCGCCGCCGCCCCCGCCCCCACCGAGACCCCCGAGGTCCGGGGCGGCGATCGGCCCGGGTCGGCGGCGCGGCTGCTGGTCGAGAACCGCCACAACTTCGCGCGGAGCGGCCCGCCGTCGCGGCTCATGTACTACCGCGGCGGGTCGTGGCTGGACTTCCCGGGCCGGGTGGTGGGCTCGCTCAGGCCGGGCTTCGAGGAGCGCATGCCCGTGGTGGACGCGTGCGTCGACGGGGCGAGGTATCTGTTCGATTTCTTGCGGATGCTGCAGATCGATTTGGAGACCGGGAACAGCCGGTCGATCGCGTGGATTGACGAGAGCGGGAAGTGCTTCTTCCCGAGTAATTTCGTCGGCGAACGATTCGAAGACGACTCCGCCGTCGTCGACGGGTCAGGCGGGAATCCCGCGAAGAGAAAGAGGGAGAAGATCGAGGTGGGCGGAGGGAAGAAGGAGGAGCAAGAGGTGAGTTCGTCGGATAAGAGAGAAGACGTGTTGAAGAGACCGTGTCTAGCTGTAAACAATCTAGGGAGACCTAGTCCTAGGTGGCCGAATGTGAGGTTGTTGAGCGAGGGAGATAAAGCCTACTCTCAGATAAAAAATTTCTTCTTGTCCGGCTTGAAGAATGTGGATCCCGGTGCCACCATAACCGCGATTCACCAGTGCACGAGGACGACAACTTTCGAGCGCGCAAGATACGAGGTTTTTACGAAGCAGGTAGACATCACAAGAGCTGCGAGAGGTGCGTCTAATACTGTATATGCCTGGCATGGGACGTCTGCGAAGGGTCTGTCAATCATATTGGCGCATGGATTTGGAGTTCCTATTGAGGCTCCTAAGCGTGAGAGTTATGGAGTTGGTGTGCATTTCTCTCCTGTGGGGTTGCCCCAATTGTGGTAATGATTCCCTATTTGTTTTTCGGCTTTATGTTTTGAATCTATGCAGTAATGGTAGCTCGGTCTTTGCTGATGATAGCTTTCTTGTTGATTTGTCCGAAGTGCTATGCATTCGGAGGCAGATGATAATGGCGAAAAGCATGTGGTGCTGTGCCGAGTTATATTGGGCAGTGTTGAGAAAGTGGATCTTGGGTCTGATCAGTCTCACCCTTCTAGTGTTGATTTTGACACTGGTGCGGATGATCCTAACAATCCTACACAGCACGTGGTGTGGTTCAGCAATGTGAATACTCATGTTCTTCCTGAGTGCGTTGTCAGCTTCAAGGCCTCTAACAATGTTAAGGGTAAGTATAGTTTTCCTTTTCAGTCCGACTTTTATGCTAAACTCTGTTCGTTCCTGAGATCATTATGGTGTTCTAACTTGTCGGATGAGAGGTATTTCAGGCGTGAAGAATTCAATTTGTGAATTAATTTCGAAGATGAAGAGTGCCCTCCCTCCTGCCAAACTTCGGGAAGTGGAGAACTTGTATAGTGTTTTTAGGGTAAGTAACTTAAGCTTCACGTGCAAGAGTTCTGGAACCTGTATAAGCAATTGATTAGCTGGCCAATAATAGGCGGCTTTGGCCTTTATTAGCTTATTTAGAGATTTTTTTTTTATTTATGTTATTACAGGCAGGAAAGTTGGTCAAAGATAGTTTTGTGAAACAGTTCCGATCGATAACCGGTGATGACGCGCTGCTTTCTGCAATTCGGGAGATTCGTGGATCCGGATAATGATCGTTGAGATTCTTTTATTTTGGAAGCATTCGTTGTGATTTGCTCAATTGATAGAATCATAGGAGTACAGGATCATACATAATACTCAGTCAAAGGAGGGTTCAAAAGAAAGGGTTTTAACTGTGCAAGCAAGAGACCTTTTCAATTGGTTTTTTTTTTACTCATTTTCTTACCGCCTTATCAATAAGTGTGGAAAAGATTTCAGATGAAGAAATGTTAGCATTTGTCGGTGAATATGATGTCTTGAAGTATGTGAAGCCAAGGACACCCATCTTTGAATGGCTTTGAATGACTTTCTCAAAAAAGTCATAAATGTTATTTTGATCTATCAAATTGTCATATTCCTAATTCGCTTCTCAAGCTGAATTTTTGTTTAATTTGGTGGTTTATTGGAGTTCTCTTTTGGAAAAGATTTGGTCCCTTGTGTATCCAATCACTTTGTCAATGCGGATGTTGATGAAAGTTGGTAGTGCTTCTTGTTTTTCGAAGGAAGGCTATTAAATCGGATTATTATGAGGTTAACTGTTGATTTAAGAAAATGCTTACGCTTTCACCATTGGATGAGTGACACGTGTGTAAGAGACAGTTTTGTAACCGAATTGTTCCACATGTCAAGCATTTGACGGTGAATGTGAATTACGTTTTACATCGGCAGCAACCCTCATAAAAATCCTGATAAGTATTGCACTTTATTGTGTGTTCAAATTAATGGAAGATCAGTACATGACATTTTTGTGTTTTAACTATTGAAGTGCCCAAATTTGTTAATTTGGGATTCACTAAATCTCTCTGGTTTACAAAATTAACGGAAATTGCATAGGAGTTGACAATAAGTAGAACTGTATTGAATGGGAAACTCTGTCGAGGATTGAATTTGGGACTCGACAAGTTTAGTGACCGATACGACAATGTTACCTATAAAAGATGGTGGGTTTGGGACTCCGCTGCTGCTGATGTGCTTTTCATGGACTGTTCATCCTTCTCACTTCTTAAATGTCAGGAACCGTATGCCAGAGATAATTGGTGTATGGTACAGAGATTGTATTAAATCCTTAGGTTGTTGAGGAAAAGAATTGTAATTTCCCTCTTTCCGTAGCAAGTTTCAGCTTGTGGAGGAAAATGAGGTTTAGTGGACTAGATTGTTGTTATCGTTTTCACTGTTGAAATCATAAGTGCGCTAGTCTGTGATGATTAATAAGCCGAGAACAGAGAGAAAGGTAGAGGAAGAACTGTGTAATGACCAGGACCTGAGAAAACGTTCGTTTGATGGATTCAAGGAATACACTTCTTTCTGTTGATTCAATTGAAGGAGATTGAAAGTTATGTGCTAAATGCTTCGTTACTTAAAACTTGCCGAGCATTTAGTTCTGTGAAATGACTTCCTGTCTTCTTGTTTATGTTGGGTAGTGAATGACGTGAGCCGTTGTGATTGAATTTTTCTGCCTCTGTATATTTCTATCTTATTTGGAAAATGTATTTAATGATCAATTAGTTGGAGAATTGGTTTGGAGAATTGCTTATGGTGTTTCTCATGGCAGCTGGCCATGTTGCTTTACTTAGTCACTTTGATTGTCATTCATTTCTGGACAGGGTGTAAGATATTCGTCTTTTATGGCTAGATATGGTTGATGATTGAAAATATTCCAGGTTCGCGGAACTGGTTCAAATTTGAATTCTTATGCCCTCAATGCCTCCCGAGGGACTTTGGGAACATCTCCTCTCGTGCTTGTTTGTTAAGCCTAGTATGTTGAGTAAGATGTTTCGATACCGTGTTCGATCACTTCCTTTTGGATGGACAATTGGAATTTACTGATCTGCTAGAATTTCTGATAACTTCCTGTGGCTTATGGGGATCCTGCCCCTTGTTTTGGTAAGTATTTTTATTTGAGACATAATGTGGGATGTACATCACTGTGAGGATGTAGTTAATTTAGGTGTAACTCTCTTGTGATCAGGTGCCTGTTGTTATCGACATTTTGAGTTCCTCTGAAGTAATACGAACATCCTAACAGATGTTCGATGGTTGTTATTGACAGTTATAGCCTAGAAGCTTATTGGGATCCTCAGAATCAGGCAGAAAGGTAGTGAGATTCCCTTACAATTGGTGTTTCTGCATTTTGAGATCCTAGAATCCTGTTTTTCGATTCGGTGTATCATGACAGTCATGAGCATATTGCATAGTATTTTTATATAAACTGGAACCATTGCCTGCTTTCTCTTCAGACAGATAAAAAGAGATTGGTTCCACATTCCGGGAAACGAGTGCTGAGAAGCATTATATGGCGAGGTAAAGAATGCAAAGCAGTGGGAATTTCTGCATGTGTGCTGGCTTTCTTGCGACTTAGTCTTAGCTCCAAGACGAGGAAATGGTAGTTCTCCTGCATAGTTGATATTTGACACTAGCTATAATCTTTTATTCCATTTGATTGTCTTACAGCTGCAGATAGCTGGATCTGTTCAATGGTGCATGCTTGTGGTGATTAATGAGGCATTGTGTTTGATGTCGTCTAGTTGTGTCAATCTGTAAGCAGGGATGGTTCTTTAGATGTTTTCAACTATGAGCTTGACATAATTTTATTGGCCATGTGAAATCTTAGATGATTAGGAATTTCCTTAAGGTGTTTTGATTATAAAGATGCAATCTTAAGGACTCCTGTTTGTATGTTTCTGTCGCAAGAAAGAATTTTCATTTTCTAGATTTGCCCATTCTGGTGGCTGTGGGATAGAAAATTCGCATTGGAAGATAACTAATGAATGTTCTAAATCATCTTTTGTGATCTTTTTGATATCAAGAGCAAGTATAATTACAGCATATTTAGTTGCTTGGATTATGTTGTGGCTGCTACGAAACCCATCATGCAGATTTGCAGGAAAGTAAGGAGCTCAAATATTGTGAATTTGTGATTTTGAATCATTTCTCATGGATAGTGAAGGTCACTTGCAGGGGACTGTAAAACAGTTCCTGGCGCTGCTTCTACTTGGTACTTCCGCAGAAACTTTCACCTGCATTTCTCTTCTTGTTGGAAGGTAGTAGGTACATGTTGAATGACTTACATTGAAATTATCTGATAGAATTGTTATAGAATTTGTGTTTCGTACGAATATATAGTCCAATCAAGAAATTCATTGATGCTAGTCTGCTCTCTTTCTGAAGAGATTTGGAATACATCAAGAAATTTGAAATCCAAGCAGAATCAATCTTTGCATCCACAGCATATTCCACCGGAGATATTTCAATCCGAGGAGGCCATCCGGTTTCAAGAATGGTTGAACTCTAACCTGATGGAAGAATGGGAAGACCAGAATGTTGCGCTGATACACCTAATTCATCTTCTAATTTGCAGCCACAGTGTTTCTGCTTAACGCATTTAGTGTTGTGGTACATACACGGTGTTTTATCTTGCAATGTGTTTCGGACCATCTATGGAAACCTAAAGTCCATGATCACTAAAAACATTCGCGCTACGACTAGTTACTTTCGCATGTACAGTGCTTGTTTTGAACAAATCCTGCAGTAAGGAGGGAAGGCCACCTATGTGCTATTGATAGTGCTCGGCATGATAACACTCTTGACTAGAGTGTCATGGCGGTCTAGTCTAGTTCTCTTATCATGTTAATACTATTAAAAATTCTTAACTATGAGCTCGTAATGGTCATTTGGATTAGAGCAATCACTTTATTTAGAACCTCGTGGGAAAAGTCTTGAATTATTTTACCATAACGTGTCGTGTTCCATCATTTATGCACGCATATATATTTTTTGTGAGCCTTTATTTGTAAATTCTAACTATCGATTGACTAGATAGGATTCCGAGCTTCATATGACTTAACACGATCTGCGGTTCAGGTTTCATTTCAATAAGAATTATTCGACAAAACTTGTGATTAGTTTGATGTGTCTCTGATTATTTCTTTGCATATCCTCGTAGTTAAGACAAAAACAGGCAGACGAGCGTTACCACAAGATAAGTTACGTGACATGCTGCTGGTGTTTTTCTCGAGTTAGATGGCACCGTGACCTCCTCGTAAATCTTCAACATTTGATTGGGAGATTTCTCTTGGGGGGCCAATTGATGGGCACAGTTAGTTCTAGGACACTATATATGAAAGAATAATCAACCCATTCGCTCGCGCCTTTTCCATCTACTTACCCTGTAGGGGAGGATTTCCCTAAATGATCACAAGTACAATTCATGGTTTCCGCTTCCAATTTACTCTTTTTTATATTGTGTATTGACCTATCATTGTGAAGATTGGATTTGCATGAGGAGAAACAAATACAATAAAGCTAGGAAGTAAAAGGTTGATACGAGTAGAATAGGATATGGAATGTTCGTGAATTCCATTCCTTCCAAATTCATTGATAATACGAGTATGTTCGACTTGATTGATCGACAAGGGCCTCTACCTGAACTGTCCTGTCCACGATAAGACGTATGCTGGACCTCCTTTGGAATGTGCAGCACGTACCACAGACGAGGTTAAACTCAAGTTGATATGTGTATGGAGATGCCTGAAGGAGCTTCTGCCCCGTTAAGCAGCTGAATTTGTAGCCAAAGATTCTGGCTTTAAAATAAACAACTTGATGCGTGCAATAAGGGCCTGACAAGGAAAGAGTCGGTGACAGATAAGAGGAGCAGAGAGAGAGAGAGAGAGAGAGGGAGAGAGACAGAGCGACAGAGGTTGAATTATAACTTGAAAATAATAAGGCATGGGGGGCAGATGAGTGCCCACTTATCTGGTCATTGCATAAGGCCTTCTAGTGGATATTATTCATCTCCTTGTCACAACATCGTTGTTCTTTTCATGTGATGCTCGCTACGACGCCAAAGATGCATTCATTTGGTTTCGAGGTCCATTCCCCATCCCTGTTGTCCCTTCGAGTTTGATTCCAAGCCAAAACAGCTTAAACTCATAATTTTTTCTCCTTTCTTTCCTTTTTCTGGCCTCCCCATCAATGAGTGTTTAGCGGATGCTGTTACCTGTGTATCAAGACATAACATGAATGGGTTTGTCACCCCCCCCCCCCCCCCCCATCGGCTTGAAGCGACATCAAACGCCAATCGAGGATCTCAAGCAAGATGCTGATTTCGTCGCAGTACATGCATGATGGTCAACCTGAATAGTTAACCTGAATAGTTAGATAAGACGAGACAATTATCAATAGAACATATCCGCAACTATGGAAAGTCATTCCAAGTGCGCATCGCGTATTGTATCCATCATTGATTTGTCATATAACACCGTGTTGGGAGCGGATTTTTTTCCCCTATAAGATCATGTTAGCAGTGAAACGAGTGACAATAACCATTCCAATTCCTCACAAGCACCGGACAGTGTCTGATTGG